GTGAGCCGCGGGGGGATCCCGCCGCAGGACGCCTTCACCACGCAGTGGCTGGTGCGGGACCTGAGGGGCAAGACTGAGAAGGAATTTAAGTGAGTGTGGGTGTCATGGGGCTGACTGGGTGGAGGGCTTCAGATTTCGGGTGTTACTTTCTTCCTCCCGGCCACCACATGATGTGACCTTACTCAACTGATCACCCTCCCTGCTGCAAATTTCCTGGCTCGGTTTCCTGGGGGGTGGGCTCAGCCTACCTCACCTCCCCTCAGACGAGCCTAGAGTGGAGGGGCCAGGCACCCTCCTCCGTGGAGAGGCGTTTAAGTAAAGAGCCTCGCCTGGGCTGTCCGGGCCTCACAGTTCCTTGACCACAGTGACCTGGCAAAGGGAGCTGGTGGGAAGGATGAAAAGCCGACTGATGGGGCCGTGTAGGTGGAAGGGGGTGTGTGTGGGGCACTGGGGGGTCATGGGGCACGAGGCCCAGAGGCATCTTTGGGCACCTGGGGAGTCTGGCGTACAAGAGTTCAGTAATCCCTGCGCCCCCTCCCTGCTCTGTGCCCGAACCCCCTCAGGCTCCCTAACCCTCACACCTCCATGCCCCTCAGGGCCTATGTGTCTTTGTTCATGCGCCATCTGTGTGAGCCCGGAGCAGATGGCTCTGAAACCTTCGCTGATGGGGTCCCTCGGGAAGGACTGAGTCGCCAGCAGGTGTTGACCCGCATTGGAGTCATGTCTCTCGTCAAGAAGAAGGTACCGGTCTTCTCACCAGAAGAGTCAAGCTGGCCGCTTAGGCTCTGTCCTTTCTGCTTTCCACCCCCGAGTTCTGGGCTCGTGCTGGTGTGCCATAGGGACCAGGGCTTCCTGTGTGCCCAGTGCCCGGGGCTGACCCCTGTCCCCATGGCCCCCCTCAGGTACAGGAGTTCGAGCACATCAATGGGCGCTGGTCAATGCCGGAGCTGATGCCCGACCCCAGCGCTGACTCCAAGCGCTCCTCCAGAGCCTCCTCCCCTACCAAAACATCACCCCCCACTCCTGAAGCTTCCGCCACTAACAGTCCTTGTACCTCTAAACCTGGTAATCAGGAGTAGGGGTGGCGGGAGGGGCAGAAGTGGGTCAGGAGTCAGGGTGGGGGAACGTTAGGCTTCCTCACTCTGCCTTCTTCCTGCAGCAACTCCAGCTCCAAGTGAGAAAGCAGATGGCATCAGGACGCCTCTGGAGAAAGATGAAGCTGAAAACCAAGAGGAGAAGCCAGAGAAAAATAGCAAAATTGGGGAGAAGATGGAGACAGAGGTGTGTGGCTACCTGACTTCTCCTGAGAGGAGGAAGTGAAAGGATTTTGGTCAGGTGCCTGGAGCCCTCGTGCTTATCCTGACCCCATTTTCTTCCAGGCGGAGGCCCCCAGCCCAGTCCCATCACTTGGGGAACGGCTGGAGCCAAGGAAGATTCCTCTAGAGGATGAGGTTCCAGGGGTACCTGGAGAGATGGAGCCTGAATCTGGGTACCGAGGGGACAGAGAGAAGTCAGGTGGGTGCATGGCCTTAAGGTTGATGGGGGGATTAGAATGTGGGGGTTCCCTCTTCTGGGGTCAGGGTGAGGGTGACATCCTCCCTTCCTATCCCCTCCCCCCTCCCACAGCCACAGAGTCGACGCCAAGAGAAAGGGGGGAGGAGAAGCCATTGGATGGACAGGAACGCAGGGAGAGGCCGGAGGGGGAGACAGGGGATTTGGGCAAGAGAGGTAATGGGTGGATGGCCTGGACACCTGGGTGCCTGAGGGGTAAGGGGGGTGGAGTCTGGGGGCCTAGATGCTGGGGTCCTGGCTGGGCAGCAGTTCAGAAGGCCAGTTCAGAGCAGGTAGTAGTCTCGGGACCCGGGAGGACGCTGACCTGAGGTGTGAGCTCTGCCCCGTCTGTCCCTGCAGAAGATGTAAAAGGTGACCGGGAGCTTCGACCTGGGCCTCCTCGAGAGGAGCCACGGTCCAACGGGCGACGGGAGGAGAAGGCAGAGAAGCCCCGGTTCATGTTCAACATCGCAGATGGTGGCTTCACAGGTGAGGGCGTTCTCACCGCGGTCTGCTCCTCTCTGGGACTTGCTCATCCTCACGGGACTCCCAATCTCCCCGAGGCTTCCTGCTCCCTTTAATTCCAAGTAACTTCTGATAAAATGGTGCGTGCTGACATGGACCTTCGCAGTCAGTCTTCCTTAGCTGTCCTCCCTCTCCAGAGCTATCTCTGACCCTGTTTATTCCTAGTCCTAATTGTTTTATTCCAAACCCCTAACCTAACCTTGACTCATTCCTTTCTTTTTTTGGGAGTGATTACTGCTACAGGGCATGTGCGCTTGCCAGAAGACAGAGAGAGGCAGCCAGAAATCACCCCCCAGAGGGGGTGAACACAACCCAATCCCTTCTCCATTCTCCTCCCAGGATCTTGGACTTGCATGCACACGTGCCCAGCATGATTTTGAAGCCACTTGGTCCAGGACTCACATTGTGGTCAGCCATGTGGGAGTCTAGCAACGTAGCCACTATGCCATCTGCTGGTCCCTGCTTTACCCATTCACGTTTTTTTTTTTTTTTTCTTTTTAAAGAATTATTTTATTTACCCTTATTTAGTTTATTTATTTATTTTAATTTGACCAGGGAGGGACAGAGTGAGAGAGAGTAAGAGAGAAAGGGAAAGTGAGAAAGCAAGCCACCAAGTCTGGGACTTGAACGGTGGTTAGCCATGGAGTTCAGCGCCCTTGAACACCACGCCACCTGCTGGCCCCTTTATTCGTTTTGTTTTGTTTTTGAGAGGTTTTCGCTATAGGGCGTGTGCGCTCGCCAGACAGACAGAGAGAGACATAGAGACAGAAAGCGAGAAATCACCCCCCGGGGGGAATGGTCACGCCGCAATCCCTTCTCCTCCATTCTCCTCTCAGGATCTTGGGCACGCACGCACACGCGCCCGGTGTTGAGTTTTAAGCCACCGGGTCTGGGACGCGAACCGCGGTTGACTACGTGGGAGTCCAGCGACATAGCCATTACGCTAACTGCTGGTTCTCCCCTTCATTTGTTTTAAGGGGCCTCCATATCCTACCATTACTCAGCTTCCCCATCTGTACTTGTGTGTTGGCTGGACGTGGTTCTCAAACCCCCGATGCCCCTTCTACCTGCCATCTGTTCCCTTTTCAGAGCTTCACACACTGTGGCAGAATGAGGAGCGGGCAGCTATTTCCTCGGGGAAACTCAATGAGATCTGGCACCGAAGACATGACTACTGGCTTCTGGCTGGGATCGTCCTGTATCCTTTCATACAATTGAGAGAAGAGAAAGTTTCTCCTAGTCTGGACAGAGGGTAGTTCTGGGAAAGACCAGGTCACGTCCAGGGAGGGGGCCGGGGGGGCTCGTGCCATGCTCTGGGGAGGTCAGGAGAGAGCACAAGGTATCACAGCCACATCTGTCCCTGTGACATTCCTTGACGGTCCCCTTTCCTTCCTGGGCAGCCATGGCTATGCTCGGTGGCAGGACATCCAGAACGATGCTCAGTTTGCGATTATTAATGAGCCATTTAAAACCGAAGCCAATAAGGGGAACTTTCTGGAGATGAAAAATAAGTTCCTGGCCCGAAGGTTCAAGGTAGGGATGAGGGAGGGAAGGAAGGTTGTGACCGAGGGGTCACAGAGGACTGGGACCAGATCTAGTCGGAACCTAGGGAAGGTCAATGCCTTGAGGGTCGAGGCAGGCTTGAGGCCAAGGCCAAGGTGGAGCTCTGTGTTTGGGACTGTGACCTGGGTCAGGGCCGACACGGGTCAGTCAGTATGGAGCTGGGGTGCTCTGGGTCTGCAGAGCGGGGAGGCCAGGGTGGGTCCCCAGTGGCTGTCTGGCCCCCGTTTGCTGCTGGCTGCTGGCTGAGCCCTGTGCTCGCTCCACCCTGCCTTCAGCTCCTGGAGCAGGCGCTGGTGATCGAGGAGCAGCTGCGGCGGGCGGCCTACCTGAACCTGTCGCAGGCGCACCCCGCCATGGCCCTCCACGCCCGCTTCGCCGAGGCCGAGTGCCTGGCTGAGAGCCACCAGCACCTCTCCAAGGAGTCGTTGGCGGGGAACAAGCCGGCCAACGCCGTCCTGCACAAGGGTAAGGGCCGCGGCGGCCCCGCGCGGGGGAGGGCCCACAGCGCTGCGTAAGTCTTCACCCCGCACCCCTCAAAATCTTCCCACCCTCTGACCCCTTTACCCTCTGAACCACCCCCCTCTGACCTGTAACCCCCACCCCTGGCCCACCTGGCACCCCTCCCCCCTGGTTTTAGCCTCTAGGCTGACCCTCATCTCTGCCTGGTATTTCCACATCAGTGCCCAACAGAGGGACCTCCCCCGGCTGCATGTCCCCTCCGTGCAGTGGGACTTTGCTGACACATACCTGGTGTACTGCTAAGACTGTCTAATGCAAGGCCTTGGTCTATGTGTGCACCCCAAAAATCCTTAGCTCTGGTCCCACAAATAGCACTCCCTCCCCTCATTCACCTTGTGAGGCAGAAACTACCACCCATCCGACCCTCTGACCCTACCTCACGAAACTTCCCTTTGACCCTCATCCCTTCTTCCACCCCATTTTACCTTAATGATAGATGAAATCCCAGCACCCTCTAACCATCTAACCCTAAGTAGTGACTGACCCCAGCCCTATGGTCCCTGTTCTGATTCCTCAAATCTGTAATGCTGACCCTCTAACCTCCCCTTCCCTTAAATATTAAAACCTTGATTCCTTAAATCTTTTGACACCACTTACCACCTCCCATGCCTCCTATTTCCTCCCCATCATCCCCAACCCCCAAACCCCGTTCTTCAGTATGGGATGTTCTGACAACTCCCCGCCCCATGTCTTCCAATGTCCTCCCCTCTCCCCCCTCCATACTCCCTTTTTCTTTCCTGCTCTCCTTCTGTCCTCTGTGACGGTCTGGTTTCTCTCTCTTCTCCTGGCACTTTCTTTTCCCTTGAGTCTCTCTCTGTTTCCATCTACTTCTGTCACTTTCTTGGTCTCTGATTCTTCGACATCTCCCTCTCCTTTTCTGACTGTATCTGTCCATACGATTCCTCGTCTCTTTTCCTGGCTCCATCTCTCTCTTCCCCCGTCTTTCTCTTGTCCGTCTTTCTCCGTGACCCGGGCCCCAGTTCTGAACCAGCTGGAGGAGTTGCTGAGCGACATGAAGGCGGACGTGACCCGCCTGCCAGCCACGCTGTCCCGAATACCCCCCATCGCAGCCCGCCTTCAGATGTCCGAGCGCAGCATCCTCAGCCGGCTGGCCAGCAAGGGCACGGAGCCTCACCCCACACCGGTAACCCTCTTCCCTGAACTCCAGTCCTCCCTGTTGGTGCTCCTCCTGCAC